GACGATTGAATAATAATTCGCGGGATTCTGAGGCTGTTATCTCCCACTGTCAACAACAAAAAAAAATTAATACTTAAATTAAGACAAATATTTCATATATTAGCAAAAATATTATAATCTTTTTAAAATTTTAATCTTGATTTAGTTGAATTTGTATTGATGAAAATATTACTTTTGCTCAACTTAAGATTAAAAATTTTTCATATTATTATTTTTATTTTATATTTGTCATCAATACATCAATACAAATTTAATCAAAGTTTGAGGCACAATGCGCACAATGGAGGACTAAAGACAGAAATAAATATTAAATGTTAAGATTTATGTACATTTAGACAACAGAAATACAGAATAATGTAGATAATAGATTTCAATTTATCGAAAATCATGTATCAATTTATACACATTATCATACGCCTTGAAATTGTATAGATAGATAGATAGATTGAAATTTATTGCGTTCATTATTTTTTGTTCCTGCTGCCTATTGTACATAGACCTTAACATTTAATATTTATTCCTGTTCCTATTATTTTTTCCATTATGCGTAGAATCTAAAATTTTTCCAAGATGATTATAATATTCTTATATATAATATGCTTACATAAGAATATATAGTTTTGATTTAAAATTAATATTTTTCTGCGCGCAAGTGAATAAATTATTTGCAGATTTGCACAATTTCATTCCATCAATTACCCTCGATGACTCTCTTTCTATATTCGCGAACGTCAGTAAAATGCGATTTAGCAAGCCTCCATGAATAATAACATAGCTAATGTACATTATTTCGGGAGAGGAAGAGGGAGAGGGAGATCTCCTATCATTCGGTATATCAAACTGTACGTAAATACTTTGCGAAACGTATTCTAACGTATCTCGTAATTACGTAATATAGAAGTTTTGCGAAACCATCCAATATTACTTGATATTTATAAATATCATATCTCTTTTTTGCATTTGCGATCCAATAGATTACGTGAATAAATGTGAATAGTGAATTGTGTAGAAGAAATAAGTTTTAAGAGGAAACAAGTTTTCTCGCAATGCGACAGAATCAGTCGGCGTTGAGGCCGTTCGTTATAAATTATTTGTGTAAAAAAGAAGGACCATTTTGTCTCTTATTACCTGGTTGCGCCATTATTGAACATTTTTCTGTCGGTGAAAGATCGCATAGCGGGAACTAGGCCAAAAATCGGCAGGAGTTGGACACTGAAAGAGAACAGAATGGATGGTCTCGAGAAAAGAAAGTAGACAGAACGTATGCAATTTTGTTCCCCTTGTGGACATCCTCCTTTTTAACCTCGACCAGATGCGATGGTTTTCTTTTTTTTTCACCTCGCACAGTTGTTTTGCGAATGGTTGGAGTGGTTTGGTGAAGAATTTCCAAGAGAGACAATTGTGCGACGCTTTTCAAAAAATAATTTATTACTGCAAAACATTTCCTATCTAAAATTAATTTGATATTTGTACAAAACTACATGGCAAATCTTAATTAATCAAATGATTAATTAATGTTATAATTAATTACTTTGGAAATTGAATTCTGTTAATTCTTCAAATATCAGCTTTATTTTCTATTGTTTATCTTTCTTTTTTATTATTGATATAGAATCCTGTAAGGAAATATATATTTTATTTTGTTATATTAGAACGAATATTATATATAAATGAAATAGTAACATGATTTATCATTGAACAAACAAACATCGTTGTACGACAAGGATCGCGATCGATGCTATTTTGTAATTGAATAAACTGTACTTCGCAGAAAAAAATAGATTGTGCTCGCGGACGGATGACGAAATTTTATCCGTAAGATCCGTAAGATGCGGAATTGGAGGGAATAAAAAGTTACAAAATCGATACGTTAATAATAACGTAAGTGGAAAACGACGCCGAGTTTATAGTATGTTTGCACAGCGGCGAACGTAACGTTTAATCGGGTCGCTATAATTATTATATTGTTTTTACTTGAATCGGAACGGATCATTGAACATGGAAATGCGCGGGGTCGACATTAGCGATAAAAGAAAAGAAATGTGATAAGTAAGTAGTCTCGCCGCGCTTTGCATCAACCTGAAACGTATTATTACTGTGTAAATTCTTATAGTTTAATTGCGTAATAAAGGCTCACCTTTCGGAACGTGTAACAGCACGGTGTTACCGTGCACGTAGTGATCTATTAACAATCTATTTCAATGTTTAAGAAATATACGCAAAACACACACACACACACACACACACACACACACACACACACACACACATATATATTAT